TCCTACTTGCCACTCTGTATCAAAATTGTCAGTGTTATTCTAGTAAATGCGTTGATTCCCCGCCTCCCACAGATTGCAATTGAGTTAAAACACAAACGCCTCAAGGAACTTCACGCCGTTTCAAACTACAGACCCAAGCAACCCCATCCTCCTATTGCTGGGCCCTTTTATTTAGTCCTCACAGCCCTCAACAACCTTGCATCAATGCACTCAACGCTGTAAGATCAATTCACCGTTTTCTAGTGTTAAAAGTGCTGACAGAAAATGAAGTTCCTACTTGAATGAAAGCAAACGTAACAAACATGCTCAACTTTTGGATTCAATTTTCCACAACCGGATCCGCCAATATCGCAGGTTCGTCGGATCCCTTGCAGCCTTCTTCTTATTGCCTTATTAGACCACAACTGTATTGCTAGAAACCTTGGTTTACTTTACCTTTTAGGCGATATTGAGGGACTCGAAAGAGACCTCTAACGGTCCCACCCTTGAATACACATGCACACATACACGAAACCCTTTCTTCAAGTACCAAGGGAGGATGGAGAGGTAACGCTCGCCATCGCTCCCAATGAATGAGACACAAGAAGAAAAATGAAAAGGAGAAGCGAAAAACACACACGTACACCCAGAGTGACCTTCTACAGTGTAAAACGAACGCATTCACACATAGAATGAAAGGCTCCAGAAAAGATGTGGGAGGAGGAGAAGGAGGAGGCGGGAGGAGGAAAAGAGCTAGAAATGCAGCCTTGGCATCATTGGTATATGCTGAAGGGTGGAGAAGGTGACGAAGTTGATAGATAGCTGTTTTCTGGTTCCTACTATAGGCACTGCTCAGTTGGTAGATATTGGGATGGACGGAGGGGTAGACGAGAGATAGGAAGAAGTCTGTACAAGATGAGAGAGGGAGAGTGGAAAGCCACCTAAGGAGTGGGGTAGATGACCTGAACAGTTATGTCGTCGCGGTAAAAGCGTGCCACATTGGCGGGAACAGAGAGGTGCATTGCGATTCGTGCCGGATCCATCTCTCGTCCACCTAGGGCAGTTCGAATTAATCGACTGGCTGCAGTGTCCCGCGGTCCCGCCAATGAGGGATTCTAACCGAGTTTAAAATAGCCATATTGCTAGTGTCATCATGGTAGAACAGCAAAGCGGTTGGTCACCATTTTATAAAAAAAAGTATAAATGGAAAAGGCATCAGAGACTGAATTCGGGCCTACGCATAATGGTTCTTTATCATACACGATGGATGAATGAATGAAACAAACAGAATACAATTTAAGCCTGCTAAAAAGTCCACCGTACAACAAAGAAGAGGAATAATACATACTCCGTGATAGTCGAGGTAGTGCTGAGCGACCACACTGACGGCCTGCTTTGGCGTAAGCATATCCCACAGTCCGTCAGACGCAAGAATAACAAAGCGGTCGCGCGTCGGATTGAGGCGGTGGCACACCACCTGAGGCGTAGCAAAGAGGTACGGTGGACTGATATAGAAACGCGGGGTTACAGGATAGCTAGGCGGTAGACCGCAGAGTCGAGCTATGCTACGTAGCACTTTCGCCGGCATCTTATAACGGATGTCGCCGAACGCCCGCAGTGGTATCAGCTCGCCTGTCCAAGGAAACAATTAAACAAATAAGCAGGAACCAGGCCTCAAGTCAGCCACAGATTAGCTGTGGAGGTTAATCTAGCTGAAAACCTCGATGGAACGTGGTATTACCTGCGAATACACAGCCAATTGAGCCCAAATAAAGTAGCACTAGACATCCTAATCCCGCCATGATTCTTAAGACTAAAAGTGCAACAAACGCTATCATGGCATCAGCACAAGCGCCATTAAGTGGTGAGCGTTTCCCCCACCCAAAGCTTGCGCAAACTTTTTACAACACTTCAGACAAACCTCGCCACGGTGGCAAACAACAGCGGCAATTTATGCACGAAGGAACCTGTGGCTATGCCGAAAGCCATTGCAAAAAGGTGAAGTAAAACAGTAGAGCAGCAACAAGCCACTACTCAATCCGACGTGCCTAGACCGTCATTTTTGCAAGGTTGACGCAAAGAACGTTTGGATTGACACAAAACGTAAGACTATGATAATACCGAAGGCATAAGGCCTGAGAACAGTGCAAATAACTTGCAAACGTGAGCGCTTAATGTATCTATTTGGGTATCAGCACTGATGACGAAGTGAAATAGTCTGTCGAATGAGTTTCAGCCCCAATGACAGCTGGAACACGGGCAAAACATGCAGCAAGTATGGAGCAAGAAGATAAGAGCAAAAAGTCCCGATGTGTGCTAAACACCTCTCGTAGCCGATGTGTTTCGTCCACGATTGCATGGTGTAAGAGTGATATAAAGCAGGGATGACTGATGACCGGTCTTTCCTGAGTACAGTTGATTACGAAAAACATCTAGCTCGAGTCCTAGTTGGTCAACTTTCCTTCAACTGAATTCGACAACTGATCATGCAACGCAGACCAGGGTTGTGACGATACACTTTTAATCTGACAGGTTAATCAGCGAGAAGAAAGATTTGACCTTAGGCCCTGAGGTCTCCAAGATTTGATCCTCGAGGTATAAAGCGACTTTGCTTGCATTTACGTAATGAGCGGTGTACGCAGCAGCAAAAGTGCTACAAGGACTCATAATTTCTAAGACAAACTTCATCGATGCTAAATTTTGAGCATCCATGTTTACTTGAAGTTCCGTAAAGCTGAACCCAGGAAAAGACAAAAAATTTTAATCGATGGAGACGAATAATGAAATTATGTGTCCTCATCTCACAAAGGGAGCTTCTGAGTGAAGGAGGAAACTCAGAGAGCACTGTATTACTTTAAGTGGTCTCAATATGTGAACTATGGATGAGTGAAATGAGATAATTCTGAGAGAGTCACGCCGCCACCTTAGAGCATACCAAGAATGGATGAGAATTCTTGAATAGATGTTTGGAATGAGCTGAGTTCTAGGGCAAAAATATTCCAGATGCAATTTAGCTATGCCTCAACTTTTTTACTTGGTGTAGCTAGGATAAAGCTGAGCATTCTTTGAACTGTCCGAACTAATTCAGAAAAGCGAATTAAATAATTGTTCGGTGTGAATTGTGCGAAAGCGAAACACCTTTAAACATTGCTAAACAAAATGATTGTGCAGGGTTAAATTCTGCTTCCAAGAAACCTGCAACGATTGCAGGAGGGAAAAACTTGGATGACATTTCGCAGTCCTCAAAAGCATGCGAAGGACAAGAAGACCGATATTTGGAACATCTGTCAAGAGTCCTCAATAGGATTTCTTTTCAACATCTTTGAAGTTTAAAGCGTACGTTAGGATATTGTTTCATCCATCAACGATGTAATTCGGAACAGACAAGCGTGATATCCTACAACTTTACGAAAAATGAGTTAAAAAGTGCTAACATCTGACGCTGAATGACGCATTAAGCACCTCAAGGGCTTATTCAAGAAACCAGTATTCACGGTAAGCACAAAATGGATGATATTCGAAAAACCGTAAATCAGAATGGGATAGACATGAGAACGTTCTAAAATGAATTTGTATCACAAGTTGAAAGACTGGAGTTGTGAAGTCGTTTCCTTGAGGCGTAGAACCACAGAATCACCTGCCTCTCCAAGATTCCCGAACTTTAACCAATAAACTGGTGGAAAATTTCAGGAAAGAGGAGTACAAATTCGAACACTGTGCTATTGCAGTTTAATCAACTAACGAGAAATAAAACCGAGAATAAAGGAAATAGTCGGTGCCCTTAGGATCAAGGGTAATGCATTTACAGAGAATTTGAGAAGTGCGACCAAATACTAACACAATAAAGTTTCCTTGAGCCCGAAACTAAATTTAGACAGCAGCAAATCAAAGACGAATGCCGAGCATAATTTAGGACGATCTGGCATCGATAAAGCGTTTCAAATTAGCGTTTAAGGATAAAATTTACTTAAATGAACTAAATATAAAGCGCACTTTTATACCCAAAATAACCATTCCACTGTTAAAAGACTTCAGAAATGAAGGTAGAAGATAAATTGAAGCCCAAAGAGAAGGCATCAACCTTATGAAGAAGTTCCTGACACAAACGTGAAGTGGACTTACAAAGCAACCGATTTTCGGCAATCATAAGTGAGGACTCGTGAGCGGGATGCTGAGAATGAAGGCGCTCTACCTCGCGAACATTTTGCGCATTGTGTGGCGGCACCAACAACTCCGCATCCCAATCCGTGGGGTTTATCTTCTTTGGGCGGGTCTGTGATGGCTCCTCCCTCTCTTCTCCCTCTTGCGTCACCTCTACCGTCCCCTCAGCCGTTTTTAGTGCGTCCACACCCACGTATTTGCCCATTACCGCACCGCAATCACCCACCTGTAAGGCGATGGCAAACTGAACATCCTTTTATGAGACATCACCGATACGCCAGCAGCGTCAGATGTGCGTCTGGGTACCTAATAAGTCACATATTTATCTACCTAGTGCTCTATTATTTTTCGAATTCGTCCAATGATAGGTATTTGATGAGACAAGTAAAGTGCAATTGTAAGATCATCCACCTGCAACGCAGCGCTCCCAATGGACCTTTAGGGCTGAGTAAGTGGCCTTACGTTTATTAACTTGTTCACTCTTCTTCTATAATGACGCCGAAGAGACATTTCCAATCTCTCGCAAGCCATCATCCACGAATATGGCGCGGAACTCTAACCATGGCCTTGCAGACCTGCAAGCGTCTTATAAGGCCTTAAATCACAGTGAAGTGATGGCAGGCATAATTGGCAAAACAGAGGTGAAATATGCCCAACACTATTCATCATTTGCGAAAAAGGCGATGAAGTTTACCTCATACCAAAACGAATTGGTCGTGCAAAGCAAAAGGAGAGCTTTTGCTGAGTAAGACTAAGTCTGCCAAAATTCATCATACAATAATATGCAATAATATGAATTTCTGGATCATGGTCGATGGCAAAACGTAACTATTAATCCAAAATATAGGAGCTATCACTATTTCTAATGGATACACCAATAATGTAAAAGAGTCTGATGGTGGTGGAAAAATCCGGGTGCATTGATAGAAGAAATTAAAACGGTCTTGTGACACGAACGAAAATGTGGATGAGCACAACCATTCGTGCAACTACTATCACGTAAACAAGTCAAAATTTCCACAAACAAAGTCAAAAATCGACATCATCTCTTCTCCCGGTGTCAGTACGCACTTAGGAGATGTGAACCCATGCTCCAGTGAACCACGAGCCAAAAATCTTGCTGGTACCCTCACTTCGCAACCAGCAAGAATTTTAAGGTTACATCAGTCTAGGAACAAATTCTACTCATTAAGCGACACGATCAAAGTGTCCTTAAGACTTGAAGAGTTTTGTGCCATTCTGAGACACCTTTTCCGACACATTCTATGAACTTAAGGCACTTACCTACGTGGAATGCATGGTTTCCTCACGAATTTAGGGGGCGTTGTAAAACAAATTTGCCCA